ACTCATTATACAAAGACTGGCTTCCAAAACTTGAAAGCAGGGGCAAGATACTCCAAACTCTTTGCACCTGGAACAGCTATTTATATCAATGGTACTTCTGTGTACAGAAGTTTTCTGGCAACAGGTGTACTTTTTAGATTGATTTTTTTTCTTGAAGGTATTTGGGAGCATGTCTGATTCCAAAAGATTGGAAAAAATTGGTGTGGAAACAAGGCCCTTGTCTGTAACCTATTTTCATTTTAATTTAGTTTAATTTTACTGTATTTTAAGTAATAAGGCTGTAAACTGAATTTGACAGACAGAAATAACAAAATTAAGGTTCTTATGACCACATTTATTTGCTCACATTGCACATACATTAATGTTGCCAAGAGAGCTTTAACATTTGCATTTCTTGCTGTCCGAGTTTTGAATCTGCAACCTTAAAAGTTGCATTAATGTTTCTGTATTTAATTTTTTAATCTTTATTAGGAAAAGAACTACAGTAGTGCATACTTCAAAGGTACCGGTTTGGTGTTAGCCAGGGTGTGGATTGGAGACCTCTGTTCTCCAGTCATTTTTTTCAAATTTTTTATGCTCTGTGGCTTTGCAACCCGGAATGCACATGGGCCTCCAGAGTGAAGGAGATTCAAAGTAGGTGGTCTGAGAAGGAAGAGAGTTCCCCAGACTTTTCAGTGCCTTTTCCACATCACCTGAATTGTTGAATTTGGCCTTCACTCCTGGACTTCAGATAGGTTGCCAATCCTCTTACCATGCTTTCTCATGTCACCTCAAAATATTTATTTCAAATTGCCTGTTCTCTGGAGGCCTAGGTATATTCTGAGGTGCAGAGCCCCAGATCTAGTGAAATTTTTACACTTCTCTGTAGTGGCACCCACATACACACTGCATCTGACTTGAAGGGCATAATAAAACATCTGTGTGCGTGCTAAAGCTCCTTCAAATCTTAATATAGTGACTATTTGAAAATTACATTGTTAGGTTTCAGAGTAGCAGCCCTGTTAGTCTGTATCCGCAAAAAGAAAAGGAGTACGTGTGGCACCTTAGAGACTAAAAAATTTATTTGAGCATAAGCTTTCGTGAGCTACAGCTCACTTCATCGGATGCATGTAGCTCACAAAAGCTTATGCTCAAATAAATTTGTTAGTCTCTAAGGTGCCACAAGTACTTCTTTTCTTTTTATTGTTAGACAAATTCCCATTCCTCAGTGAAGATAATTTATTGGCTAAATTTGAGGTTTCAGAATTTTGGTGGTGGTTTTTTTAAAGCATGCAAGAAGATAATGGGAAATTGTTTTTTCCCTGCCTTCCCCACATGTACATACCTCAGGTAACTCAAAAATAGCCCAATGAATTTCCACAAAAACATTCACCTTTTGGCTGAGCCAAAGCATGGATTGCTTTCATCCCAAAAAGAATCTTTTTGTTCCTTAGGTAGGGGAAACTGGTATAATGAAAATCATCTAGCAACTTTATAAGGATACTGTCAACTTTAAAATCATTTTTCTGTCTGAAAAATTTTATAGCTGTTATAGTTATGGGTAATGCCTTAGGTAGCGGGGATAGAGAGTACTTCCCTGGATCCTTGCATAGAACTTGGGAGTGACTTAAAACCTGGGGTGGGGTACTGATGGATTCTTCCCTCCCTTGACCCGTGTACTGACTGAGGAAGCAATTGGAGTCTTGGAGTTAGTGAATATTTTTTTCTCTATGGGGTCAGATGGGGATGAACAAGTGTTGGTGGGTCATCCATTACTCTCAAATCCTGTTAAGGGTCTGGAGAGCACCTGGTACTAGCTGAGGCATACGCTCCCCCACCCTTCCATTGAGATCAGAAGAGGCACTTAGTTGCAGGGGTGAAGGAGGCCCCTATCCTCTCCATGTGACTGGAGACCAGATGTAGTTGGGCAGAGGGCAAAAGGAGGAAGTTTGTCTCTCATTTCCTGGCATGACTTTAAATCCAAGAATTTTTTTTAAGTTAAGAGACTTTGCCTCAATGTTGCTGCTACTGAAGAACCAGAACCCGTAGCAGAAGTGTGGATGGGGATGGGAGAAATCCTGCTAAACAATAGCAGATGAAAAAGATAAACAATTAAAATTAAAAAAAAATAAATTTAAAATAATTCAGGGGATACTATTAAAGGTGCTTTGTGAGAAACATGAATTTTTTAAAATTAGTCAACTAAAATGCAAGCTGTCAGTTTTCCTGTAACTAAAGCATTTGCTTCTGTCAAAGCTATAATGGAAGCATCTTCTATACATAAGATATCCCAAAATGCATTTCAAACTGTGAATTATTTACTACTAGTGCAATGAGTGTGCATGCATATTAGCCATTAAGTGCTCAGCAACAGCTCAGAGAAAGCCGTGGACATTGAAAATCTATTCTACTGAGAGAGAATGTTGGCTAGGACACAAAGGTGGTTCCATAATCTTTTTCAAACAGCTGCCATAGACTTTAACTTTTACTTGGACACCTACCTACATACGTGGCATCGTGGAGTATCACCCAGTGATTTGAAATGCTCCCCAGTTGCCTCCTGTTCTAGGACATAAACTGCTTGCAATAGAATGCTTACCCCTCCCCACTTCATAATTGCATACCTGGTCAGATACAGTATTGTTTCTTTTGTATTCCTGTGAAATATCCAGTATAATACAATGTGATAGCTGTTGTGATATATTAGATGAACTGTTGGGTCTTTTTCAGTAAGTGTACTTCTACACAGATGAATGTGCTAATAGCTGAGCCATATTGATCGTATACATGTTATTTAACAGATCAGTAAGGCCTTGTCTTCACTGCATGCCTACCATAGGGTAAGCAACCACAGGTTAATTAACCAGTGGTAACCTAACCCATGAGAGTGCATCCACACCTATTGTGCTGTCGCTCCTTGTGTCCACACTTGTTCTGTATCTGGCCATGACAGGCAATATAACTATCTGAGCATATCTTGAGCATATCTCAAGACTGCTGACACCACAACATGGCTCTGTGTTCCCATTTACAGGGTGTTGTGGAGCAACTTGTCTGCCCACGCTGGGGACTGTGGGAGGCAGTTTAATGGAGAGAATGCTTCAGTAAATTCTTTGTTTTGGGTATATCGAAAATACCAATCAACAGAGGAATTGAAATGAACTAAAACAGAATAAAATTAGTCAAAAGAAAACGATTGTAAAATAACTATTTATTCTCTTAATGATATGTACGTAAGAAAAGTGTGGAGAGAAGAAACTTCTTTTGAAACCTTTTAGTTTTCTGTCTTTTCCTATGTCTACACTAGCACTTCTGTCTGTATAACTGGAAAAACACCCCCCCCCCCCCCCCGAGCAACATAAATTATACTGATAAAAGCGCTAGTGTGGACAGCGCTATGTTGGCGGGAGAGCATCTCCCACCAACATAGCAACTGCCACTCATTAGGGGCGGTTTAATTATGTCGATGGGAGAGCTGTCTCCCTTCGACATAGAGTGGCTACCTGGGAAATCTTCCAGCTGTATCAGTACAGCTGTGCCGCTGTAAGATCTGTAGTGTAGACCTGGCCTTAATCTAGTCTGAAAAGCTTGAATGAATCAGCGTTTAGAATAGGCTAACAAACTTTTAATGGCTCTCATTAAAACTCATTTGTTCCTGATTAACTGTCCTGAATAACTTCATGTGTACACACTCATTCTGTTTAGTTGAACAGCTGTTGCACTGTAAATTCACACCCTATCTTAATCCAAATTAACTTTCAAGTGTAGACAAGACCTTAGTTTTAGCTTGAGAGACAGTAGGCAAGGTCAACCACCGTCCAAGTTATAGTGCTGACATTGCCTAGCTACATTGGCATAAACACTACAAATGACTTGTCTTCACTTAGGATTTTACAGTGAGATAATTATTGCACATTTGTTATCCTGTTTTTAAAAAAAAAATCTGTCATTGAGGATAAATCCTAAGAGTTTCACTTTTCCAAGGGATTTTTAGTGGGCGTTGTTCTGCTGAATCAAACCCAGAGACAGATGAAGGTGGAGAAACGGCAAGCATGCAAACTTAAATTACGAGGCTGCATAGAGGCAAATTAATAGTCACCTTCTGTGGTTAAGCCTGTTAAGTCTTCACTGGGAAGTCCTACTTCTATAATTGATTGTAAGTCATTGCTGATAATCGCAGAGTTTACACGCTATCTTTTATAAATGTACATATGGCCAGCTCTATTTTTTTCAACCCATTCTCCAAGAGCCAAACTGTTACTCTGGGAAATCTTGTTTGTTGGGAATCTTAACTTGAAAGTGCAAAACTGGCTCTGAGGTGGAGTAGCCATGTTGTGACTAGCCTATGAGACAGGTTTAATTTTTTTCTTGACATATTGTTAAGGGCCCTACAAATGTTGATGTTTTGGAAAAAAACTGACTAATGTGAAGCTTTTAAATATTGCCCACGTTATTCTTCAGTCGACTGCTCTTTATTTAATTACAGCACTTGGAAGTCTAATATCACTAAGTTCATCCTTTTGAAATTAGACTTCAGTTTACCCACTTGCTGTTTGTTGGTGAATGACACTGAACTCATTAACACAATGTAGGTGAAAACTGACAGACCTAGTCAATTTTCACTCTTCTGCATCTTGCAGAAGCTCTGAGAAGCCAGGGAGACACTGGGAGTATCTGCCTGAAAACTTAAACCAGTGTGGTGCTGTCTTACTAATTTCTGTTTGCATTTGGCAGGTATCCTTTTCTTTTTAATGAAATTGTAAATTCTGCAGGAAGTTATGGCATTTGTCAGGGAAATTTTCCAATTTGTGCTGGATGAGTGGATTTTTCAAGCCTTGGATTGGAATATAGTACTGTCATTTTGGCTGAACCTTATTTACTCAACTAATAACAAGTTAATCATCTTTAATGTTTCATTTTTTGGCCTTCTGAATAATATATACTATTTTTTTCTTAAAATGCTGATGTTTCTGGTTAAAATTGCTAACCATTGCTTTTCATGTTTAATTATCTTTAAATAGGCTACACCTGTGCTTAAGATTCTGAATTTCTGCATATTCGGCAATGCAACAAACTTGGGAAAAGAGAATTTATATTCTGACAGCGAGGACATGGTCAAACAAAGTGCCATTCTCAGTCATTACGAGCCACGGGTGAGTCCAAAGTAATTGCTTGCTTAGATGAATAGAAATGGAGTTCTCTTAGTGTTCGTTCGGTTTTTTTCAGACTGAAATGTATACGTTAACCCTATCTTTAGGCGTGTCTTTAGGTTTCTTATATGCTAGAGGTGGAAAAGATCTCTCTAGTGTCTCCATTTGCATCACTATACAGAAGAGTAATCCTAGATTTCTACAGCAATCAACAATTCCATGTCTAGTCTGGCCTCAAGTGACTCTAGTGATGATAATCTCATGAGCTTCTTTGGCAAAATATTCTGAAAAATAGTCGCAAGAAGTTGTTACCACTTGCTAAGTGCTCAGTGGCAATATGAAATGAATTAATTTTCAGTCCACTTCCCAGCTAACTGTTATCCACATAAAAAGATCATCAATACAATAGACACTATGCATCCTTGATGGCAATCAGGTTACAAAGGCTAAGGAAAGATGGGCATCACAGAATGGTGGGAGTCCTAGCAGGTGCTAGCAGCTGCTATTGTCTGAAAACAGAAGGATGCTCTTAGTCTTCAGCTGTGATTCCATATCCGAGAGTAGGATGTGGCTCTTAATGGTTAAGCAAATTGACTCCTCAAACATGCAGGGCCTGACTGTGATGTCGAGGACAGAATTCTTATTGTTATGTCCCAGTACTTACAGCTTAGAATCATAGAATATCAGGGTTGGAAGGGACCTGAGGAGGTCATCTAGTCCAACCCCCTGCTCAAAGCAGGACCAATTCCCAATTAAATCATCCCAGCCAGGGCTTTGTCAAGCCTGACCTTAAAAACTTCTAAGGAAGGAGATTCTACCACCTCCCTAGGTAACGCATTCCAGTGTTTCACCACCCTCCTAGTGAAAAAGTTTTTCCTAATATCCAACCTAAACCTCCCCCACTGCAACTTGAGACCATTACTCCTTGTCCTGTCCTCTTCTACCACTGAGAATAGTCTAGAACCATCCTCTCTGGACCCACCTCTCAGGTAGTTGAAAGCAGCTATCAAATCCCCCCTCATTCTTCTCTTCTGCAGACTAAACAATCCCAGTTCCCTCAGCCTCTCCTCATAAGTCATGTGTTCCAGACCCCTAATCATTTTTGTTGCCCTTCGCTGGACTCTCTCCAATTTATCCACATCCTTCTTGTAGTGTGGGGCCCAAAACTGGACACAGTACTCCAGATGAGGCCTCACCAATGTCGAATAGAGGGGGACGATCACGTCCCTCGATCTGCTCGCTATGCCCCTACTTATACATCCCAAAATGCCATTGGCCTTCTTGGCAACAAGGGCACACTGCTGACTCATATCCAGCTTCTCGTCCACTGTCACCCCTAGGTCCTTTTCCGCAGAACTGCTGCCTAGCCATTCGGTCCCTAGTCTGCAGCTGTGCATTGGGTTCTTCCGTCCTAAGTGCAGGACCCTGCACTTATCCTCATCAGATTTCTTTTGGCCCAATCCTCCAATTTGTCTAGGTCCCTCTGTATCCTATCCCTCCCCTCCAGCGTATCTACCACTCCTCCCAGTTTAGTATCATCCACAAATTTGCTGAGAGTGCAATCCACACCATCCTCCAGATCATTTATGAAGATATTGAACAAAACCGGCCCCAGGACCGACCCCAGGGGCACTCCACTTGATACCGGCTGCCAACTAGACATGGAGCCATTGATCACTACCCGTTGAGCCCGACAATCTAGCCAGCTTTCTACCTACCTTATAGTGCATTCATCCAGCCCATACTTCTTTAACTTGCTGACAAGAATACTGTGGGAGACCGTGTCAAAAGCTTTGCTAAAGTCAAGAAACAATACATCCACTGCTTTCCCTTCATCCACAGAACCAGTAATCTCATCATAGAAGGCGATTAGATTAGTCAGGCATGACCTTCCCTTGGTGAATCCTTATTTCAGCTTATTAAAAATGAGCTGAATGTTTGTCATGGTGTGCGTTAAGAGAGAAGGTATTCCACCAGAGTACGTTGTTGTTACATTTCCTTTACCAATTGGATACAACAAGAGAGCTTGTTTTTTGAAGAAGGAGAGGTTTGTATCCCCTGCTAGCTGATAAGAGAGACTGGGTGAAATCATGGCCCCACTGAAGTGAATGGGGCTAGGGGTTGCATGCATTTTCCCCTTAGTGGTATCCATAGGGCTGGCCCTAGCTCCCCCTGGAGCCCTGCACACGTGCACCAGTATAAGGGGCACCGCCGACTCCACACCCTCTCAGTTCCTTCTTATCAACAGTGCCAGCTGGCTGGAATGCCTTCTTGCTCAGCAAGGCTTTCCTAACAGTGATTTGGACTCAGATCTGGTATATATAATTTTTGTAGTTAGTGAGTTTAGTTACAAGTCTTAGTGTGTGTATATATAGTGTAGTTCAGATAGTTATTCCAGTCTTAGAGGGATGTTGTCCCAGGGACTGGGCATGCCCCAGTCTTCAGGCTTCAAGCCATGCTCATCCGGTGCCAAGTCTATGCCGGTGTGCGACCACATATGGCCTATCTGAAGTGCCTCGGGGAAGCTCACGTTAAGGAGAGGTATGGAATCTGCAGGGGCTTCAGACCAAGGACTTTGAAAAACAGAGACATTCGCCTGAAGGCTCTGCTAATGGAGGCAGCCCTCAGACTGGCCTCGGAGCCGTGCCGCTCCGAATCAGTGCTAAGTACTTCGGCCTGTGTATGAAGTGCACCACCAGCACTGGGCTCTTTTTGGCACCGTTCTCCATCCCTGGTGCCAAGGAAGAAGCACAAGAAACAATGCTTTGAAAGAGGGCTCTCCCCGGCACCGAAGAGAGACAGGAGGGGAGCAGCGGACATAGTGAGATCTGTGCCAGGCCACTTTTCCTCCCCAGAGCTGCGTCGAGCCCAGTTCGGGACCCACCTCCCACTCCTGTGAGTGGTTGTGGTACCTCATGCCTGCGGGCCCCCTCAACTCCAGAGGTCTTCCAGGCTGCAAAGGACTTGTTGTCCCTCCTGATGCCACCCACCCCCCCAAGGTCCCATGCCTATCAGGGACAAAAGGGTGCAAAGCGTAGAAAGCTTCTTTGCGGCACTGACAGTTGTGGCACCGACAGTAGCAGCACCTTCCAGGGGCAAGTGCTGCATGGGCCCCCCCCCCCCACAAGGGTCCCTGACCTGGCATTGGTACTGCCTCCCCAGCATTACCTGGAGGTGGAACCATGGAACTGGGCATGGCCCCTCCTCCCCCGGTCTCTGGGAAAAGAGTTCTTCGCTCTGCCAAAAGAAGTACTGGTACCTGTCGTACACACCAGACTTTGGTACTGGACCTGCAGCAGCTGCCTGGCCACCGGGACACTGGCTCATGCAGTGATAGTATTGGAACCCATGGGGGTTTCCCCTGCTACCGGGTCCCCCTTCCCAGTAGTCGTACTCAGTCGCGTCTGAGAGGGGAGCCACTACTTTGTCCTCTGGCATCGACCCTGGCTCCGAGGTCACGGAAGTGACCTCACTGGAGGTGGTAGTAGGATTATTTAACCTGGTCCCGCCAGATGACTTCAGGACATATCAGGAGGTCCTGATAGGGTCACCACAAACTTGGAGATAGAGGAGCTGAAGGAGTCCACTCACAGCCTTGGCAACCATGTCCAGCAACTGATAGATGTCTTGGCTGCAGCGGCTCCCTCCAGAGTGGCCCTCCCAGTCAATGAGGGGGTTGTAGGACCAGTCAGGGCTCTATGGCAGACCCTTCCTCTCTGCCCCGTACCTCAGAATGGGTAGAAAAGAAGTACTATATACTGGCCACAAGGTTCGAGTACTTGTATTCACATCCCCCCATGGGATCCCTGGTGGTGTCAGCCGCAAATGACAGGGACAGGCAGAGGAAGCCCAGTGCCACCTCAAAAAATAAGGAGGCCAAGAGACTGGACCTTTTTGGCAGAAAGGTTTATTCCATGGGAAGCCTCCAGCTTCGTATCTCTAACCAGCAAGTGTTGCTTGGGGGTATGATTTTAACTTGTGGGACTCGATAGCCAAGTTCAGAGACTCTCCGAAGCAGGAGTCGAGGCACGAGTTCATGGCCATCCTGGAGGAGGGCAAGACTGTGGCCAGAGCCTCCTTACAGGCAGCTCTGGATGCGGCCAACTCGGCGGCCAGAACAATGGCGTATGCGGTCACCATGAGACACTGTTTGTGGCTCCAGTTATCGGGCCTCTCGCATGAGGTGCTGCAGTTGGTCCAGGACCTCCCCTTCAAGGGCACCACTCTGTTCTCTGAACAGATGGACTCCAAGCTGTGTGGTCTCAAAGATTCAAGGGCTACACTTCACTCAGTACACACCCCTGGCCTCCAGGAAGCATTTCCAGCCTCAACAGCCTCCCAGATTCTCGGGGCCTCCCAGACATGATTCCTGTAAGAAGAAAGGAAAGGGCTACAGGCGTCACCAGACCCTACCTTCCACCTCAGCCTCCCAGAAGGGCTCAAGTAGATACCCAGTGATTCCAGGCAGGCCTTTTGAGGGTATGCCTGAGGACAATATAACAGACCTGAGTCAGGATCCATCCCCCTCTTTTGTTTTTGGACCTCCTGTTTCCCTTCTGTACTGCATGGTGTCACATAACATGCTACAGTACATAACAGTAGAGGAAGTTCCTCGAGACTTGAGAGGGAAGGGGTTCTACTCCTGATGTTTCCTAATCCCGAAGGCCAAGGGGGGCCTGCATCCCATCCTGGACCTGTGTTGCCTCGACAGATATCTCAAGAAACTGAGGTTCCGCGTGGTCTCCCTGTCTTCCATCATTCCCTCTCTGGATCTGGGAGAGTGGTATGTCACCCTTGATCTCAAGGATGCTTATTTCCACATTTCCATCTTCCATGGACACAGAAGATTCCTTCAGTTTGTGGTGGGCCAATGTCACTAGCAGTTCACTGCATTCCCCTTCAGCCTGTCAGCTGTCCCACAGACCTTTACAAAGTATATGGTGATGGTTGCAACTTACCTGGGACATCGAGGTGTACAAATCTACCCGTACCTCGATGATTGG